CTAAACACTGGATTGGAGATGCGTCCGACTTAAATTGGGTCAATATAGAACAGACTCTTGCCACACCATATTTCGCCACAAAGAGTTGCTATCCCAAAAGGTAACTGCCTTAGTGGAGGACAAAAATACAGTCGTCCAGCACTCTAAGTAAGTGTGGGCAAAGAACCACAAGCTACACAAACTCTCACATTACAAACAGCAGTATTCCTCTCTGTGGCTCAATCCCAAAATTAAAATAGGTAAACCATCTGTGTTTTGGAAGAAGTGGGCAGAAAATGGAATCCACACTATTGGTGATCTTTTCAGTGAGGGTATTATCAAATAATTTGCTGAACTTGTACAGGAGTATAATCTGCAAGAAAAGGGTGACTTCTGGAAGTACTTCCAGATTAAACACTGCATAATGAAAATAAATCTAACAACAAAAGAAGACAATGTAATTTTGCAGCTTCTGCAATTGCACTTAATCATAGGGCTTCAGTGTTTTACAATGAAACAGTTTGTTTGACCAGTAGCTCATGTGAAAACTTAAGATTGATCTGGCAAAGAGACCTTGGAAATATAGACAAGGACACTTGGGAATAAATATTGGCCGATAATGGTAAATGTATCAAAGAAGTACGGTGTAAATCTTTTCAATATAAAATTCTACATAGGTTCTACTGGACCCCATGCAGACTTTTTAGAATAGGATTGATAAATAGCAGTGGCGGACCATGCATTTCCCCCCCATGCCTTCAATAGTGCTCTGTCTGAATCAATTCACCCCTCAATAACTATTTTATGGTTGTAGAAATCGTATCGTACAGTATGGATGTCCCGATCCAGCTTTTTGTATTAAAGTTGAAAGTATTTATCTACTTATTTAGTTGTCAGATTCATGTTGAACAGGGATTGACTCTTGTAACAACTTAAAGTTTAGGACACAGACCTGTGGGTTAGGAGATGCTAATGCTCATGTGGGATCTGGAGTCTGGATCTGCGACCCCCCCCCCCAAAAAAAAAACCCATCAATAATATCCTCATAAACTCGCAATATTATTTACGAAAACAAGAATTTACTCACTTACTTTTCTTGAAACGCAACTATATTTCGGTTTGTTTGCTAGCTTTGCCGCTGATTGGATATCTGACTATCCAATCAGCGGGTGTGAATACAGTGACGTTGCCTAAGCCCTGCTAGAAGGCCCTGGTGTTACCAATTTAAAATTTGATTGGTTAAAGCAACAGTGTAATCGACATGTATTTTCTGTTGGGGGGGGGGGGGGCCTCCAGGGAGACATCTTTGACTTTGACCCTGCCTAGCCACAAATGATGGCTGAAATGTGATTGGTTAAATGCTTTTATATGAAAATGCATGTCTGGAAAGGTGGCGGACAGACTATTTAGAGATATTTAATAAGTTTCCATGGCCAAAATATAATTAACATCAGTCTGTGATTCAGATATTTTCTTAGGGCTGCAGAGAAGACCTTGTAGGCCCTGACGGCCCACCACTGAAAAATACCACTGATAAATTCCTGATGGCATCCCTCACTTCTGGTGTTCACCACCAGGTTTCCGCCACATCAGGCACCGACAGCCTTGCGACCGCAGCTCTGGGAAGCCGCCTCAGCAATGAAGACACAGGTAATGACCCATTCGGACTCAAGCTTCGCCCCCCTCCTCACCCAAGTGTCCAGGACATGCGGCCACAGATCAGATGATGCAACAACAAAGTCTGTCATTGAACTGCGGCCTAGTGAGTAGTGGTGCCAAGAGCTCTTATAGGATATCCTTATCCCTGAGCGAGAAGTTCTTTATGGAGAATACATAACAAAACTCTTCTCGGGTTCAAGATGGGGGGTCATTCCTCCCTGCCCGCACCCTCCCTGCCCACATGAGCATTGAAGTCCTCCAGCAGGACCAGGGAATGCTTGGGAGCAGCGCTCTAACTCAGGCTCCTTCCTCACCAGAGAAGTGACATTCCTTGTCCCAAGAGCCAGCTTCTGTAGCCAGCTTCTGACCCTACCAGTGGCTCAGAGCCCTAGACAACAGAGCTCCTTGGATCATTGGGACACTCAAACCTCTGCAGCATGATAAGTTGGTAACCCAGTAGAATTTCACAATCAAATGGTTTCACTGACTGAACAACTCCCTTGAGGGACATTGCATTTGTTGATGTTTAAACCAGAGTGACTTCTTATTCTCATACAATACCAGCTGCAGATGAGCTATCCATGGCAGTTGGTGGGTTTCCACTGGCTTGTACTGATCATCACTGTTAGTCTTCTCGGACTGGTTCCTTTTGTCGTTCAGTGCACGATAACAGCCTTTGCCAACCCTCCCCCTTCCATCTCAGAGGAAGATTTCTCCCTGATAATGCCCGAGGCAGCATGAGTTCAAGCCTCAGTAGTGCTAATCGCAACAACTATGTAAGAATATGGGTCAAAGCTGTGCCTGCAGTTTAAGTTATTACTTGTTTTATTTACTACGCGTGATACTGCAGTCAAAGACAATCAAACACGAGGACTGCACATAGCCGCTTTCATCGTGACTGTGAAGATAAAGAGAGGCGTCTTAAACTGGGAAAACCTATGCAACCGACATATGGCCTGCTCATCAAATAATTTAGATATTCCACTCTCTATATTTACTTTCATGTCTGTATTTTCTCAAATGGTTGTATGAGGTTTATTGACCATAACTTGATGTAAAATGCAAAAATCTTTCATGACTTTACAGATAACACTCTTTATACAGTCTACATTCATTCTTGCTTCATATGTTTCCAAGTACTAGTTTTTATTTGACTTTAAAAACAGCATTCATGTCATACAAACAATAATTTCTAAATAAATATTGTGTAATCCACATCACCCTCAACCTCTTTCAATAAGTTTTTCTTCCCATTTTAAGACAGCTACAGGTAAAGATGCCTCCGGTACTGTAAAATAATTTGCAAACGATTAGTGTGTTTCCAACATCTTTTATAAGCAACATACACTTTCTAATATGAAACCAACATATCGTAAATACTGTTATCAATGTTATCCATGGTTACCAATTAAAGTATGTTAACAGAAAATGCTAAACGTAGGTAGTCAACCAGCATTTTTTTTTTATTTGGCTACAATTACTCACTTTAGCATTGTATGCTATCACATGATCTGTGTAAATTACTGATTGTTTTACTTTCTTTTATAACTATATTTTGTGTTGAAGTCTCTGGCTGTGACCACAGACTAACTCATCTCTCCTTTACTTTCTCTCCTTTTCTTTCTCTGTTGCATCAGATCCATGTCTTTATGTCAACACAAACACGTACCATTTGTTACCACATTTCAATGTAATCTACATGAATTACGACCTGGCTTGTTTATACCCACAGGTAATTAGCCAATAGGACTTGATTATGTCCAACCCCCCTTTGAGGAGGCGGATCGAGCCAAGGAGATAATGTCCATCACACCCAGATCTCAGGGCTCTTTGCGGACTGAAACCCTGAGAGAGGTTTTTGTCTGTGAGGAGCCCAGCGCCGATATACTTTGCCTGTGGCCCAATAAATGTCATTGTTTATAATTTTGATCCACTCTGGTTTATTATCAGGTTTCCAACTAGAGAATCAGGTTAACAATTTGAAAGATTGATTCAAACCTCAAGGAGAGAAGTTTCATTATTGAATTTTTTTTTTTTAAAGAAATACAGTTTTTAAATAAACCGATGCTTATATCTAAACTAGCTCCCTGTAACTTACAATTAGATGTAAATATGATTTTGAGTCAAATTCCACGGAATTAAAACTTTTCTTATGCATGTGTCCTTCCTCCAGTATTTATCTTAAATAGCTGTTTGTAACTTAACAAGACCTATAACTCCCCCCCGCCATTAAACTGCCTTTGCAAGAAATGCAGAAATTCAACTGGTAATTAATATATATGGTGGCAGTGGTGCCGTGCTTCTTCATAATTTGGTTGTTAAAGCCCTTGTCCATGCTAATAATGAGTTGTAATTTTATGACAGGAAATTAGTTTGTTTACAGCATGTTCAGCAGCCTGAGATGTGCTGTTCACAGATTTGGGCCATGGGTATTTACACATTGTCTGAGTTGAAATAGGGTCAAATATGCTTTCATTAACATTTGTACACATTTCTGTGAATCAGTTGGAGTATATACTGAGGTTTTGGAGTTTTACTAATATGAAGGAAGATTTTCAATCATTACATATACATTTGTTAAAATATGATTTATATTACTCATGTACTTTTAAAAGTGCTCACGTTCACAGTTTTTGAGAGTTACAGTGGCAAATGGCCTAGTTTTAACAGTGACTGTTAGGTCAAACTCTCAGGTCATACAAATATCGTGACCATAGATTCTGAGACATCTTATCCTGGAGGTGACAGAGAACTGGGGAGATTCAGCCTTGCTAACTAAACTTGGCCTAGCTATTTGTATTCTGAGGTCAATAAATTGTAATACATGATTCCTTTGTAAACAGAGTGGGTCGGTACATCTTGAGTGATGCCAGTATTACTGCTGGGAAGTTTTGTGGGCATCCTTTTTAGGATTGGTGGTCTTTACAGACCAATACCCTGTGGGCACATCCCAAACAGCATCCCTGTACTGCCTGGGATGTGCCAACATCCTGCTGCCCCCTGTCAGTGTGTATCTCAATCACACTTCAGCCCTGGGGGTTCAGCTCTTGGAAGGAGTTACCCCAAAATTCCCCTCCCACATGTTTTGGCTACGGCTCTGCCTTTAAGTCTTAAAAATAAGAACATGCCCAGTGTTGTATAGTAACGAAGTAAAAATACTTCACTACTGTATTTAAGTATATTTTGGAATACTTAAACTTCTCTCGAGTATAAATTCAAAAAAAAAAATTTCACTTCACTATATTTCCGAACTTAATAGCATATTTTTACTCCGATAAATTTTTAATGTTGGTACAAAAAAAAAGCGAGAGAGAGAGAGAGAGAGAGAGAGAGATAAAAGCAAGTGTTTTGACCCCACCTACTGATTGACTGCAACAAAGTCGGGACTTGCCTGGGCTTGTTCATCACCACCAATAGGATACACCTGTTTCGCTTCTGGCATTAAACACAAAGCCATTCTCGCAATCAGCAGCAGGCACATGGAAGAGGACACGGAAACGACAGCTGCTGCAACAACGTCGAACTAAAGTGCAATAACAGTAGAATCTTTTTTCTATGGTGTGATGTACACTTAATTTCAGCACTGCCTTTTTTTTTGACATTTTAAGGTAGTTTTTACAAAAAAAACCTTTTCAGATGCCAAATAAGCTGCAGTTCCCTCCCAATTATTTTTCTTTTGTATAATGACCACTTGTGTGTGCCCCTATAGTTTGTGAAGTACAGTTCAATTCAAAATAATTTATATAGCGCCAAATCACAACAACAATTATCTCACAGCGCTTTCCAAACAGAGCAGGTAAGACCCTAATATGAGTTATTTACAAAAACCCAACAATTCCCAAGGAAGGCAAGGAAAAACTTAATTTTAAGAGACAGAAACCTCGAGCAGAACCAACGGTTCAGGGTGGGTAGCCATCTGCCTCGGCCGGTTGTGGGTGAGAGACAGAGAGGGCAAGAGAGAGAGGGGACGTAGCCTACACATCAACACGTAGACTGGATGAAAAATGGTAAAGGTATCAATAATAATGATAATGATAGCAGTAATAATAGCAATAAGACTATGAACAGTAACCATAACAATTTTTTATTCCTTTATGTTGGCCGCATTTTCTGGACCGACTATTAATTTTTAGAAAGGTTTACAAAAGGGGTTTCAAACTGGACTCCCTCTTCAGATGCCAGAGATATGCTTCATTTTTATATTTTTTTGTAATGATGGCAGTAACAGTAGCAACCTTACTTGAAGTAAAAACTGAAGGCTTACAAAAACTATGTATTTTCTGTCTAAACTTGGGGGATATACTAAGAAGCTGGTTCAGTAGTGAAGCTGGTTAAGTTAACCTTGTGGTATAGGTAAAGCATCTAATAGCAGAGATTAACTTTCAAGTGAAAAAAATGTATTACTTGAATTTGCTCGTTTTGTTTTTTATTGATTATATTATTGAGCAATTATTGTTTAAAAACATGTTTAAAAACTATATTTAGTACTTGTTGGTGCTGATACTGTTAGAATTGTGTATGGAGATTTATTGAGCAACTTATTGCAGCACTTGAACTTTTAAGCAATTCTGGCATTGCAACACTCCAAAATGAGGTTTGATTTCTTCAAACTGCAAGAGTAAAAAACAGTTAAAGCTTTGAAAACAGTAAAACAATGACATTTGAAAAAAAAACAACTAAAGAATCTAAGCAATAGGACAACACACAAGCAGCATTTGGTGAGAAGTCTAACAGATGCTTTATCCAAAGCGACTTACAAAAAGAGAGTTTGACATTCAACTGCAACACCAGTTACACACTTACCTTACCTTGAGTGCAATATGCTAGAGGAGGATTTAACATTAAGAATTTAACATTCAACTATGAAATAGATTACACAAGTACCATACTACATGCAATAATCATAATAATGAATTAAGTGCATTTAGAGCTTTCAGGACAAGAGATATTCTCGAAGAGCTAGGTCTTTAAGGATTTCTTGAAGGAGGAAAGTGAATTTGATGCTCTGATAGAGCTTGTGAGGTCATTCCACATGAGTGTAACCGCAGATGAGAAAAGTAAAATGCAATACAATGCAAACAAATAAGTACATAAAATAAAACCAAATGGGAAGATGGGCTGAAAATTGTCCAGACCTCCTCAGAAATGTTTCCAGGAGGCTATAAGAAAGCTACAGTCAGGACAGTACCAGTAGTTTCTGAGACAAATCTCTCCCAACATGTTCAGAATCATCTGAAAGCACCCCTTAGCTTTCATCTTTTTTCAGGATTTGCTGTAGTGTTGTTTTTGTGGCAGTGTGTCTCTAAAACCTGCAATGAATTGTTGAAAAAGTGCTCCTAACACAATTGTCTGTGTTACATTTATTGAAAGTAACAACATTCACTTTATTTTAGGATTCAGTGCCCCTCACACCTGAACAGGTTCGAAGACAGCTGACCAGACTCCACACCTGCAAAGCTGCAGGCCCCGATGGTGTATTTCCCAGGGTGCTTAAAGCTTGTGCCGCCCAGCTGTGTGGAGTCCTTAGTCTGGTCTTCAGCCTGAGCCTGCACCTCCAGAGAGTCCCCGTGCTGTGGAAGACGTCCTGCCTCGCCCCTGTGCCTAAGACGCCGCGTCCTAACGGCCCTCAGGACTACAGGCCGGTGGCACTGACGTCCCACATCATGAAGACCTTTGAGAGGCTAGTTCTGGAACAGCTAAGGCCTATGGTCAGACCCTTCATGGATCCACTACAGTTTGCCTACCAGCCCCGCCTGGGAGTTGAGGACAGTATCATCACCTGCTGAACAGAGTCTACACTCATCTGGACAAGCCGGCGAGCACTGTGAGGATCATGTTCTTTGATTTCTCCAGTGCTTTCAACACCATCCGTCCGGCTCTACTGGGTGAGAAGATGACGGCGATGCAGGTGGATTCCCCCATCGTGTCCTGGATTGTTGATTACCTGACGGGCAGTTGGTGGAGATTGGTGTGATCAAAGGGCCTGATCTGCCTGAGGCTACTGTGGTGCCATGCCAAAAGGCCTTGTTTGTGGAGGATCTCAAAGATGGTCCTAGTGTGGAGGAAGCGGTGAGTGACCGGGGGAGGACACCTCGCACACTCCCTAGCTATGACCCACTGTCTTCTGTGAGTTCAGAAGGACGAGATGGAGCTCGCTTGAAGGTGAGGTTGGCACGTCTCCAGATGGAGGCTGAGGAAAAAGCCCAGGACAGAAGAGCTCACCTGGAGCTTGAGATCAGGAGGCTGGAAATAGAGGCTGATAAAGCTATAAAACTGCGTAGACTTGAGCTGGAGGCCCAGACTCAAACATCTTCTGCCTCTATCACACCTGGTTCCACCACCATGTCTGCTATGCCATTCGACATCAGTAAGTGTATTTCTTTAGTACCTGCTTTCAGAGAATCTGGAGTTCACTCATACTTTGCAGCATTTGAACGCATTGCTGGTGCTTTGAAATGGCCTAGGGAAACCTGGCCGCTTTTGTTACAATGTAAGTTTTCTGGTAAAGCTCAAGAGGTGTTGGCAGCGCTCCCTTTAAAAGATAGTTTAGACTATGATCTCGTTAAAGCTGCTGTCTTGCAAGCTTATGAGTTGGTCCCAGAAGCTTATAGACAGAAGTTTCGACAGCAGAAGAAAACTGCTGGACAAACGCATGTTGAGTTTGCCAGAGAGAAAGGCATTCTCTTTGATAAGTGGTGTGCTGCATCTAAGGTCAACAATTATGACACTTTACGGGAGCTAATATTGTTGGAAGACTTTAAGAAGTGCATTCCTGATCGGGTGGTGTTGTATTTAAATGAACAGAAAGTGACCACTTTAGCATCTGCTGCTGTTCTTGCCGATGAGTATGTGCTTACCCACAAGTCATCCTTTGTTGCTAATGAAAAGTCACATGTTAGCTCTGTACCGCAGTCCCACATGGTTAAAACCACCATTCCAAAAGAAAGCCGTGAATGCTTTTACTGTCATAAACCTTTAAAACGCAAAACACAGCCAAATTCACAACAAACTAAAGGGGTTGGTTTTGTGAGAAAAGGACCCCGTACTAAGAGCACTGATTGTGGTGACAAATTACCTGATCCCTGTTTTGAACCATTCGTTTTTGATGGCTTGATCTCACTGACGGCTGAGCCCTCTGATTTAAAGTCAATACGCATCCTGAGAGACACTGGGGGTTCTCAGTCAATCATTCTCGCTAATGTCTTACCTTTCTCACATGAGAGTGCCTGTGGGTACAACACTGTTCTGAGGGGAATAGAGATGGGCTACGCTCCAAGACCAGTCCACAGAGTTTACATCAAATCAAAACTTGTCACAGGGTTTTTCCCAGTTGCTATCTGCCCAGATTTACCCATAGACGGTGTGGCTATGCTAATGGGCAATGACATTGCTGGAGGTTTAGTACTTCCCAGTCTGGAGGTTTTAGACAACCCATTAAATCAGACAACTCCAGACTCATCAGACCCTGGGCTGTACCCAGCCTGTGTGGTCACCCGTGCACAGGCACGTAAAGACACTGAGATTTCAATTTCTGATTCAGTTTTGATGTCTCCATTTTCCAGTGAGGATGATGCAGAAAGTAAAAGTAACAGCATGATGTTACTTCCAGATTTGGTGGAGCTGGAGGAGCCTGGTCCACTTTGGGAGAAAGCATCCATCCCTATGACCGGCCAACACTTGTCATCTGCTCAACAAGCTGATGAAACATTACAAAGATGTTTCAAGAATGTGGTAAGTGCTGATCAAGCCAATAAAGAGAAACAAGCTTACATTGTGGAACAAGGTGTTTTAATGCGTCAATGGTCTTCATCAGGTGCGGGAAGCTCAGACTGGGGTAATGTTAAACAGATTGTTATACCAACCACATATAGACAGAAAGTGCTATCTCTGGCTCATGAAAGCCAGTGGTCTGGTCACTTAGGTGTTACCAAAACATACCAACTTCTGTTAAAGCACTTTTTCTGGCCTGGTATGAAACGTGATGTTTCAAAGTTCTGTCGTAGTTGCCATGTGTGTCAAATTGCTGGTAAACCAAATCAGGTGATACCACCTGCTCCATTGTGTCCTATTCCGGTGATAGATCAACCATTTGACCATGTCATAGTAGACTGTGTTGGACCTTTACCCAGAACAAAGAGTGGAAATCAATATTTGCTCACAATTATGTGTGCTGCAACGCGATTCCCTGAAGCCATCCCTTTGAATAAGATTACAGCCAAAAATGTGGTTAAAGCTCTGACAAAGTTCTTTTCTGTGTTTGGTTTACCTAAAACTCTTCAAACAGATCAAGGAACAAATTTTCAGTCAAAGTTGTTCAAACAGGTAGCTAAGACCTTAAACATTAAGCATGTTGTGTCCTCTGCTTACCACCCAGAGTCCCAAGGTGCTTTAGAACGATGGCATCAGACCTTAAAGTCAATGCTACGTAAGTACTGTCTGGAAACTGATAAAAGTTGGGAAGAGGGGGTTCCATTTGTATTGTTTGCTGCTAGAGAGGCTGTTCAGGAGTCCCTGGGGTTCAGT